GCGCCGCACTTAGAGAAAAAATGTTGTTTTTACACTGATCATACTGAGATTGTAAAGGATACAATAAAAAAGTTAAGAGAGAGAATCAGATCTCAAGAGCCCCCTTCAAGTGAAGCCAAAGTGTTCTCTTTCTGGGAATCAATCCTGCCCTATATTCTCCCTTTATTGGGACCCCTGGCCGGATTCATTATAGTCATGGCTATAGCCCCTTGCCTCATTAACCGAGTAACCCGGTTTGTGAGGGCCCAGATTTCTCAAATAAAAGTTATGGTGCTACGTCAACAATATGATCCCTTACCCATACAGGACCTTTAAGATTAAAAGTCATCCACAAGAAAAAGGGGGGAATGAGAGAATCGACTCCCCGTTTGTAATGTAACCCCCCCCCCTGAGCTATAGAACAGAGCTATAAGGAATGTTTCACTCCCTAAACCTTTCCCAGGAGATAATCAGAGCAGGGCAGAAAGGAATGTCTCTGCTAGTCATTAACCACTAGATGTTCTGTTCTCTGTAAAGATAGAGATAAGCAAAAGAATGTACTGCATAAACAGGACCAGGGGGCACCTGGCACTCTAAGGTCAACCCAAGACCCTCGGTCTCCATGGTTACTCAGCCCCAGACCCTCAAATCAGCGTTAGCCAAGTCCTGCGCCGTTCAAAATTAACCAATGCGATTTGCTTCTGTAAACTTGCTTGCCTCCTGCTTATACCTTTAAAAACCCTGCACAGATTCCCCTCGGGGCCCCTCCGCACACGTTTGCCTGAGGGACCCCATGCGCATGGAAATAAACTTTTTTCCCTCACCAAGAGTTGAGTCCTTGGGGTCTCTTTCCCTGCGGCGTCGGCCCTAACAAAAATAATAAGATAATGTGGGATAAAAGTAAAACAAATTAGTGCAAGTTTAAAATAAAAATAAAACTCCTATGTCATATCAGCAAGTACTCAAAAACTGGACACTTAAATTTTTATTAACTTTTAAAATTTGCAATAAGAAATAGATCTGAATGAATCACAGAATTTATTAGTATAGGTTATACTTATGTTTCCAAGTATACTATGTTCATCTATCTGCATATTGTGGTTTCATGACCAGGATGCAAATTTTGAGTCAGGGTTTAATTCTAGTTTATCATGGTGTTCTGTGCTAGGTCACCTTGAGAGGTACCAAGAAAGGTACATTGTACTAAACAGTGATATGTAGTCCTCGAAATGCAGTCAAATATATTTCTAAACCTGGAACCACCAACGTATCTATAGGCACACATCTTTGAAACAGTACATATATAGATATTTAGTACAACATTATTTGTTTTGACAAAAACATCAGAAATAATAGAAATCTAGGTAAATAAAATATTATACTTCCAAATTATGGGTTATTCTGTAGACTTGTCAAAGCACTAGCTTTATATTTTCTGATATAGAAGAAACCTTTAAAATATAATATAATATATAAATAATCAATATGAAGAATAATACACATAGCATTTTACTATTTCATTAAAGTGTGAGCTTGCAGTTGGTACACATGGAATTATTTACAATATTCCTGAGTTTCTTCCTCAGGAAGATGTCTGGAAGACCAGGAAGCATGATGACAGGGAGACATTTATTTCTACTATTGATGTTAGTTCTTTTGAATTTTTTGATATGTCTATACTAGCTTTTAAGAAAATATTTATTTTTTGAATAACCAGGGGCCCCTTATTGTATCCTTACTATACTTACTTAAGGCAATCTTTAACTTAATTAACATTTTTTAGTTATGAGGAAGATTAAAAGAACACTTACTGTTCATGAAGACCCTGAATTAGGTATAGAAATGACAAAGTACAAGGACATGGACATTTTGAAGCTCTCAGATGTTTAGAATTAGAAGGCAAAAACCCCCACCACCAAAAATGTAAGTATTGGTAAGAAAGGGTTAAGACTTTAAAACCTTAAAATGCTTTGCTTCTGGCTTGTTTGTTTGTTTGTTTTGGCCCTCTGAGGAATACCATGACTGTTGACTAAGTAAATAAATAGGAACTTAGAAAAAGTGGCAGAAAGGATCCAAGAAGAAAGAAGTTGATCCATTGGCTGAGCAAAGCTGGCATGGTGTGATAATACCTGTTGTGTCTCATACAAGGCATCTGACAAAACACTGGTCACAAGGACTCCAGAACCAAAATTGCATCTGGTGGCCTTAGGGATGTGTTTAAGGGGGTACAGCTTGTGTGCAGAATGATGATATCTCTTCAAGCTAATTACTGAGAATGTTCAGGACTAAAATTGCCGGGCTTCCTCACATGCCTTGAGAGCATGTGTGCCCTTGGTCCAAAAGTGACAGACCCATGCTTGAAACTCAGAGTGAGGTTAAGACTCATGATGGATATTTTCCTTCTCTGTTCTATGCTGGTTTTACTCAAAAACCCAGCAATCATCAGATGGGCATGGTGGTGTTTCCTTGTAGTCCCAGTGCAGCAGCAAACAGAAACACCTAGACGTCAACGAGGATTTGGAGGCAGATTTATTAACATCGAAGGACTCGACTGGGAATCATTTCATTCCAAAAGTGTCAGGTCCCAATCTCTGGTAGTCAAGGGCTTAGATGCAGTTTGCAAGTGGGGAGTACAGAGGCAGAGAATTTGGCAGTTATTGATTGGTTATATCTTATCTCATTATTACTGATTGGCCTAGGGGAAAATTATATATTCTATGTTGTATACTAAGGTAAGTTCAACATCCAGGAAAGATCAGAGTTACAGCAAACACTTCGCTGAGGTAACATAGGGGTTCAGAGTGTAGTAGGTTATATAAGGGAAATATGCACTTGTCATTGGAAAACAGACTTGCTCAGGGGAGCAGCTACTTACGGGCTGGTATAGGACCTCGGAAATAACATTTAACTCTGTATCTTCCTCTTCCCCAGCACTGTGGGAGGCTGAAGCACTAGGATTACAAGTTTAAGCCTGAAAGGTTCTTGCCCTAGTATAAATTACTATACAGTTAATGGAGGTGATCAAACATTGTAGAAGACAAAAGCAGGAACGCCTACCACTTCCTGCTTCTTCAGCCCTATTGCAACTCCCCTTCCTCTTTCCATGCACAGAATTCCAATCGGTTGCTCAAACATCATCAGTATCCACCCCATGCACCACTTCAATCAGAGGTCATATAATCCTCTGCCTCTCTGTACCTGGCTGAAGGAGACAGCCCAGCCACCATGGGTTGTGGCTCCTTCCCACATCCTCAACTCAATAAACCTGTTTATTTTGTACTTTCGCTTCTCCACTGCACCAGAATACTCTAACAAAGCCCAGCCTGGCCAATTGAGTGACTTAGTGAGACCCTATCTAAAAAATAAAATACTACAAAAGGGCTGAAGTGTTGCATGAAGTGTTGCACTATGTGACAGTCCTGTGTCCAATTTGGAATGTCACTTATGTTCAGCACCAACACCTCTGTTAAACAGAGAAGATGAAGGATCTAATGAAGAGAAGTAGACATATGACTTGAGAGAACTGATCAATCAAGTGAATCCAGAGAGCACTGGAAGAGACGGAAGAAATGCTCGTCAGTCTCTTTCTCCCTTCCACCGTGTCTTCCTTAGTAAAGCGCAATGCTGAGGAAGCACAGCTGTGACCTGGGAAAACTCATGGGCTTAAAGATCATTCATTGCTGAAAAGCTGCGAGGCTGCGACGTGAGCTAATGGTGAACAAACATGAATCTTGCCAGCGGTCCAGGACTCTAAAATTCAGACAAATAGATAATGATGAACAAAAAGTACTTCGTTCTACCTTCGTAAGTTTCAGTTCTGGAGCAGGATGTGTGCAGGTGAGAAAGCTGAGAGCAGGGACAGTCATTTGGCTATTTCAGGTGACATTTCAGCAAGAAGCTCGGCCCCTCTGGTTTAGCAACAAATAGGGGGTGAAGGGGCAGAAAACCTAACCGCTGAACACAGACAAACTAAAATAAGGGACAAACCTAAGGATGAAAACCAGAACAATATTCTACTTTAAAGAATGTACATAGCCGGGCGTGATGGTGCACGGCTACAATCCCAGCTGAGGTAGGAGGATCTCGGCAAGTTCGAGACCAGTCTGGGCTAAAAAGTGAGCTCAAGGCCGACCTGAACTACATAGCAAGATCCTGTCTCAAAAAGACAAAAAAAAAAAGTTACAATCAACCAAAATCAATTATCTTCTAGTTCAAATCTCAGGATATCTGCGTGTGTATGAATGTATGGTGTACACAGGATCAATAAAATTTCTAAGATTCATTTTTTAAAAGAAATGAAAAAGTAAATCAGAATCATTATATCAATATCATTTATATTCAGTTTGGAAATTATCTTTTTTATATGTCGTTTTGATTATTTGCAGTGTTGAAGAGAATTTAACAGGACAATGTTTACTACAATAGTTTTGTGATTCCCCTTAGAATGTATAGCTAAATGATCAATTTAGGTACAGTATTTTAAAATTGAGAGTTATCAGAGAAGTTTGCTATGTTTACAAATGGTGTTATATTTAAGAATCTTGAAATTCATCCCATTTGTAAGTAAGTCATTAAACTTATGAGTTATTTAAATTCTGGGGAATGTTTTATATAATACTATGACAATTAAATACCAAGACTGGAACTTAGACATTTAAAGAATACAGATAAAAAATAAAAAAACTTATAAATCCATAATTGCCACTTGAAAATTGTTGAAAGTTGATAAATGTGTACGTTAAGCTTTATTTATATTAAAGTTTAAAATTATAAGTTAAATACATTGAAGTTAAACAAAATTTTAAGGAAGGCCTTGGTTTTCCAATACTATCTAATAAATGGAACACTAATTTTAAAAGCCAAAATTACTTCAAAGTATCTTTTGTGTACATGCCAGGAGCACCAGAAACCTCCAATTGACAGAATGCTATTCAACATCAAAACAGAAACTTGCCAAAGAGGAGGACAAGGATGAATGGTCCCCCAAATGAGCCAAAAGGCTAAAGCGGCCCTGTGAAGAACTGGAGGGTTTTGGGAGGAATTTAAAACTTCATCTTGGACCAGGGAAAATCTGCATTGGTCAGATATGAAGTGGGAAGCAGATGGTGCAGCTGGCCGGGTTGATTTTGGAGGATTTAATAGAGGGACTGTTACCATGGTGACTGGGCAACTCTTGTTAGGAAGCCAGCAACATGCGGTCTAGAATCTATGGATAGCAAGGGCAGGCAGCCACCACCACGCCTGACAGAGCAGCCCAGAAAGAAGTGACCAGGAGACCTACTGATTTCTTGCAACTGCTTCCCCTTGATAAAATGCCACTGGGACTCTGGGCAGAGGTGGCATTGTAATGCAGAGCACAGAGCCAGTGGAGAGGCTGGGGGTTGGGGAAGGGCCTCGCAATGAAAGCATTTAAGATATTTAAGAGAAATGTGTCAGCATCCTAGAAAGCATTATTAGTGAAAGTTCACACTGACCAAAAGATCTTCTCTTTCCCAAATTCCAACAGTGAAAGCAAGTAGAGTCAAAACCATCAGCATTTTATTTTCCTGATTCTTTTTTTTTTTTTTTTTTTTTTTGATACAGTGAATCAAACTCACAACCTTGTGCTTGCCAGATAGGCGCTTAGGCCACTGAGCTAAATCCCCAGCCCTTTTCCTGATTCTTATATTGGCATTTAATTGTTTCATGGATCAAAATCTAGGTCAACCTGGTCCGAACTATGTATTTCTCTTACACATTTTCTCTCCAGCATCAGAACAAGTGTACATGAACAGCAAATTAATTTTTTACAAATGATTGAAGTACCAATTGGTCAAATGTGTAGCTCGTAGCATGTTATAGAACTGAGATACCAATATTGTGTAGGGGAACCTTTATAGGGACCTGATGGAAAGTGTACACTGCAGCCAAGGATACCAAATTTCCCATTTCAATATTTATTTTTAAAGTGCTTTTTCATGACTGTCCTTCAGGAAACAAATTTGCACTTTGTGAATGAGAGTTAAATATTTTTCCTGACACTATGTACTTAAGAGCTTTCCGAAACCATGGATAAAAAAAGCCATGAATGAGAGGGTTGCAGGTAGAGTTGAAATACCCAAGCCACACCAAAAGATCGAGCACTAACATGGGAGTAGAGTAGCCCAGATACGGGTCGATCAGAACAGCAAGAAAGCACGGCAGCCAGCAAGCCAGAAACACCCCCATCACTATGCCCAGAGTCTTAGCTGCTTTCCTATCTTTTTTCTTAAATAGACTTTTTTTCAAACCCCCTTTAGTGTTTTTGGGCACACTGCTGATGACTTGAGCGTGTTGCTTGGAAACAATAAAGATTTTGCTATAAATACCAACCATGATAGAGCCAGGAGTCAAGAAGCAAGTAGTGAACAATACTGTTCCCCAAAGTTTGTTGAAAGTGAGTGCACAGAAGTTGAAGCAAGTGACAAGAATCTCATAGCTCTGCATACCAGCAATATTGGCCTCGGAGAGAACTAAACCAAAACTAAAAAGAGCAGGGGCAGACCAGCAAACTGCGAGTAATCGCTTTATCATGGAGGTGGTCATTGTAGTCGCATAATGTAAAGGGTAACACACAGCGTAAAATCGATCGATAGCAATGGAGCAGAGGTGGAAAATGGAGGCCAGGCTCAGCATCATATCAAAGCTTGCATGGAATTTACAAAAGCTATCCCCAAAATACCAACAGCTCTCCACTGATCGCACCATGCTGTATGGCATGATGACACAACCCAGCAAAAAATCTGTCGCTGCCATGGAGAGGATCAGAAAATTTGTGGGAGAGTGAAGCTGTTTGAAATGGGATATGGAAATCATTATAACCAAGTTCCCAAAGATGGTGATAACCATGGCTCCAGTCATAACAGCATACATTAGCGCTCGGACATACAACGGGCGGTTGGTGGGAGGACAGGACTTATTTCCAAATTTCGGACAACTGGATAAGTCTTCAGGAATGTAACTTAGATCCATGGTCCTTTATTACTCCAAATTGTGTGCCAAAAAGATGGTTCAATATTTCTTCTCTTCTGAATTTGATTCCAGCAAATGTCAGGTCCTAATAGCAAAATAAAGCTCAAAGTCATCTGTTATTTTTTTCACCTCAATTGCAACTTATTCAAATACTTACATTTATATCAACTGTGCTTACTTTCTGAGTGAATGGCTTGACTTAGGAAAAAATGAAAAATTTCAACTGCATCTTCTTTCCTGTATTATTCTGTTCCCTGATCCATCCGTTCATTCATTCATTCAGCATACTACTTACTGCTCCCTTCTCATAATGTATTGAAAAATTTTCAAGAGTTTTCATTTGGCTTTCACTGTGAGCAACCATCTTCCTAGAAACTCTTGAACTACAATAATCTGATATATCTTTTACCTTAAATACCAACATACAGTCTAAATGAAGTTATGAAAAGTTTTTCACCGGGCACTCCTTCAGTAATTTGAATTCTTCATTTGCAAAAAGTGTCAGATGTTTTAGAAATGAGAAATGGCGGATTGCTCTTTAATTATGCTGTACCATGAAATACGGTTTTTCAGTATAGCTATTGAAAGTCATATACTTGTGGGCTAAACCACATACCTGGAACAATGCTTTATTGCTTCTCTGTTTTCTGCTCTTTCTGCTCCCTACCTCTGTTCCTTTCATTTTCTTCCTGTATTTCTTGAATCATATAGCTTACCTAAGATTCTAAGTAGTAGATCCGTTGTCCATGCTTCATTCTTAGAAGACCTAAGAGAATCACAAATTTTATGGCCAGTCACATAAAACTCATGTGATTCCTGTTGGTCACAGCAGGCTGAATGAAAGTGTAATTATGCAATCTACATTTCCAGTATATCACTGTCCCTGATTTATTATTTCTGTTGGGTTTTACACCCTGAAAAACCATTCCCACCTGTAGGATTTTGAAAAGCCTGCCACTGTGCTTATAACAAGTGTCCCATCTGTTTAATGGACAACAAAAAAGAGGCCCCAGTCTTGAGTGAATGAGACATAGGGGTCACCCTTAATCTGTGTCGTATTCTTGCAAACCATAGAGTTTCAGCTGGGATGTACAGTTAGCAAGCTTATCTACTTATGCAGGTTCAAGTTTGTTTTCCCTTAAGGATCCTCAGAAAGCACAAAAAGATCCACTCCTGATCTCATTGTATCAGAGTCTCTCTTCACCAGTCTGGGAACTGTCATCCTTACCTGGCGGAGGGATGCAAAAAAGAGACCTATTGTGACAAACAAAACAAAACAAAACTCAGAAACCTGTGTGATATCGCTTAGAAAAATTTCTCCCCAGTTACAGGAAGATGTCTGTTTGAAAAGCCTTAAGAGGTTCCCTTTTCGAAATGGCCATTGCCCATGACTCAGGTGTACTCTGGATCAGGGCTGGTAAATCATGAGTTATTATATTTTTCTTTTCAAGCAAAAGATGTTCATGAATTGTTTTTTCTAAACTAAAACCTTAGTATTCAGGGTTGCTTACAATGTTGGCGCTTTGGGATAAACACGTTGGTTTTGGGTTGTGGTTTGGATTCTTTATCTCTAAGAGGTTCACTATCACCGCTCTAGAGTAACGATTTCTTTTTTTTTTTTTTTTTTTTTCCTAGCTGAAACAAACTTTTAATATCTTTTATAAGATGCAAACTGTGACAAATTCAAAGAGAAAACTTGCTGTTTTGAATGCAGTTGTGCTCAGAGGTCTACAGAGACTCTCCACCCACGGAGGGTTCAGCCAGTCAGGGAAACACAGGTCAGAGCGGGGTCACCCTGGCTGCCTGAAGGAATCGCTGGAGACACTGCAGCACTTCTGCATTGAGCCTGGTGCTCACCACGATGGAACCTTTCCTCGACAGGCAGTAGGCAGTGTGTGAAGTGACTGCCAGGAGAATTTGGGGGTTTTTACCATTTGACCTACAGGGCCGTGCTCTTTTTTGCCAACAAATGCCAGATATGAGAAAGCTGTCTGATATCCCGGTGCATCATCTGTGTAATAAAATGCTCTTCATCTGGAATCATGTCATCTTCAGGTAACTCAGAAAGGCCACTCAGAGACTATAATAAAAGAGTCCACAGCTTGGCGTATTCAGTGTCCATCAGTGGTGGACATTCTATTAGTAACTAGGCTAAGGATTCAAGCGCTGATTTCCAACGAGCAAGCCACAAAAGAACCTGGCATTGGGAGTCTTTCCTCTTTTCCTCAGAGCTGGCGGTAGTCAGCTCTGAGCTCTTGATGTCCTGACAGATGACAGCTGAATGTGCCTTGCATATATTTCCAGCTCTAAGAAAAAAAACCTATGAATCACTGGTAACAAAAAGTTATTAGTTTTCAATCCATTTGTTTTAAATAAGTAAAAGACAGGAAAGGAGAATAAAGAGATGAAAGAGATATGGAATGAAGTTTGTGGCTGAAGCCAGAGTAACATGGTTTGGATATAAAATGTCCCCCCAAATTCTGACTTTGGGAGGCGGGACCTGGCTGGAAGTGGTGGCACACGGTGAGTGAGACTTGGAACATGTGTTCTTCTCCCAGGTCCTCCCTTCCATCTCTGCTTCCTGACCACCATGCAGGGAAGGGCTTTCTTCCACCATGTTTTTCTGCTATGCAGTTTCTGCCGTGGACCCAGCTGACAGTGGACTGAACCCACTGAAACTGGAAGCCAAAATAAACCTGCCATCTCGTAAATTGCAAGTGTCAAGTATTTTGTTCCAGATACAAGAAAATAAAAGATTCATTAATGTACTCTCAATCCCAGGGCAGGGGTGGTCAATATTAAAGATCTGTTGCTTTCCAACACAGAGTTTTCTCTGTTCTTCATTGCATTCTTTCTTCTTTGGTTTTCACCAAGGAAGACTTGAGCATTTAGCCTAGATTATGTTTTAGTAATATCAGTGACAGCACCCAAAACTAACTGATGCAGCTAGAATCTGTGCTGAAATAAACATCATCATGCCTCATTTTTTCTTACCTTTACTTCCTAAAAGGGCTAACAGTATACAGTAGATACATATTTTTGAATGATGAATATATAAATATATGGGAAATTATGGTTGTTTTTTAAAATTTATGCAATTGATTCAATAGGTTTTCTGCAAGCAAATGGAACAATTACAGATCATACTTTATAAAAGAACACTTTCAGTATTGTTGACCTATATTTTGATTTCCAAAGGACTGACTGGCAAATTAATTTTTCTTTCTCAACTTGCTTATAATTAGCATTGTTTTCATCCTCTTTTTCTTCCTCTCAGAATTAGGGTACCTATTTCAATTTTGCTTAAAAACAAAAAAAACTTCTATTTAATCTATTGAACCAAACGGTCTCTTGAAATTGCTATAATTTGTAATTAAAAAATGTTAGACATTCATAATTACAAATAATTTCCTCTCAGGTTTTAGTATCAATTTCTAAATAAGAAGACTGGCCTATTTCTAGATACCTATATTTTGCAAAATGTCAGATTTACAACTTGAGATCTTGTCATGAAGTTAAAGCTTGTTGAAAAATTTTTTGTATAGGCAGACACAGTAATTTCAGTAGAGGTCAGAGGTAGTCTCACAGAAAACTCTAGGTGCAGAATCTAAAATCTAATTTCCATAGCCTTAAAATATGAATGTATATTACTGTAGTTGACAAGGAAAAGGCTGTGATCCTTTGTTCTAACAATGAGACAAATATTTGTATATGTTACCTGTAAGTGTCAAATGCTACAAATTCCTCTTGTAAAGAAATGATGATATTTTAGCCTTTACAAACCCTAGTTTCTTCTGAGTGCCTGCTTATGGTATTGCAGAGAGTAGAAACTTTACAAAACCAGAAACATTTTCAGGACGACCACTAACTCTATCAGTCGTTGACCCATTTCTTCTACTGACACATTTTAGAAAATAATGCCAATTCTTATATAGTTCATTAAAAATTGATCTTAAAGTACAACCTTTCAAATGTAAACTCTAACTTTTAAAAATCTAAAGTCATTCTTAGTCTAAAAGGAGATTTGTACTAATTCCAATGAAATTTTTCAAAATAAAGACAGCAGAAAACAGGGCAATTTCATAGTAATTCTAATACAGAGGTTTCTCTGTATTGTACATTATAGTACATTTTACTATAACAGTGTAAATTATATATGAAGTATAATAGACAAAAGATTGGACATTATGAAAATTCATGATATTCATTGTTTTCTGCCTAATTAAAATCTAAATTACAATGAGTGTTTAAAGATTATGATGCCAAAACTATTTGAAAAGCATTTTGGAGTTAACAATAAATAGACTGTACTCAAATGTAACAATAACAGCTAAGATACACAGAGAAAAATATTTCTTCTATTAAGCTTAAGCATTGTTCATACTTCATGAGAGCAAAAATGAAAACCGGTATCTGGCGTTTAATAACTAATTTTTCCCAAATGACTGACAGTTCACAAGTCTTATAAAAACATTTAAAAGCCAGAGAGGTATCTTGAAAATAGTATCTTCTTAAAAGCAGCATATGGAAAACAGAAGATTAAAACCATTTGAGTGACAGTAAACACCCAGACGGAACAGATAAAGCAACTTCTATGTCAGAGAGCAGGGAGAGCAAGAGTTCAAATCGGAGCGTGTTTGTTACAATCAGGGAGGAGAAACATCCCTACTAAGTTTCAGCAGAGCAGGGCAAAGAGCTAAAAGGTAAAATACTACTATCAGGAGACTCACTTTGTGTTTGCGGGTAAAGGGCAGAAAATCTCCCCTCGGCTGGGAAGCCAGACCGTAACCTTGTCTGTGCCATGTGTCCGTGTCCGCCTCAGCCTCTGTTTACACAAAAACCTGTTGTAGCCTGTAGCACCCTCCACTGCCGCCCCACTCCAGCCCGCCTTCAGCCCTGGTGGTTTCGCTGTGGCCTGTGAGCTCTGTGACAACTCCCTGCCTCCCACTGGTCCTCAGTCATTTCCTCTCTGCCCAGGGTATGCCTGCGTTATTTGCACCCTCAGTGAATTTGCAAAGAACTCTTGTAGACCATAAAGGAACCAAATTTTTAATTTGGTTACTCTTTGTATTTTGAAAAAAGAGATCATTTTGGGAAGCAAAGAGCACCGAGTAACTTGCAAAGGAAAAAATGCCAGAAAGGAGGCAGTGGGCATCTGCCAGGGATTCAGCAGCACTGCCTGAACAGCTGGGGTTTCCACTGTGCTGCAGTGCCTAACAGAAAGGTGCATTTCAGCAAATACCCCAGTGCTTGACACTTTTTGAATCAAGTCTTGTATAGGTTTCATATTTGCAAAAGCATTTTATATGTCATTACGTGGAAACTTATTTGAATGGAAAACTTAAGATCAAGAATAACATAACTATTTTTCAGGTTAAAAAAAAAAAACTAATCTCCTCTACTAAAACCTAATTATAACAATATCTGGTACATTGCTAGTCTTTTTAGTGGTCCAGTACCTTTTCTTTCCTAGAAAGTTAGTTGGGATTCATTGAGTCTCTTCTAATGAGGTCTGGCAGTTAAGGTGGCAGAAAGTTCTGAGAAGTTTAGCTTAATGGAAGAAGATACCGGATCATATAAGTTGGCTCTGTTCTCAAGAGAACTGGAGAAGAGAGGAGGTCGGAGAGAGGTGCTTACTACCCAGCCCCAGTGGAACTGCTCTTTTAACTTTCTTTCCTGAGGGATATTGAAATGTTCTGTTTTTAATATTTTCAAAATGCACAACAATAATTTCATGTTTGAGTTTATGGCCATTTGGGTTTCATTTTGGAAAGAGCAGGTACTGAAATTTTCATATACTGACATGGGCAGACTAAAGTGATCACTGACTATATCAAAGGAAGAAATTATTATTTGAACCATAAAACATTTCTGTTTGAACTCTAAGAAGACATTGGAGTGGGATAGAGGATTTAATTTTATTTCAGTGGCTTGTACCAATTTAACTAAAACTCTTGAGAAAAATGAAAAGCAATTTAAGGTATCACAATCAGGTTGAAAATCCAGTTTAAGAACCAAAGAACATGAAGTAAGATGACACTGGGTTCTAGCCTTGCTTCTGCAAGTCACAGAATAATCCACCTGGTTACTTAATCTACCATCTATGTCCAGTTTTTCATCTATGACTTCCAACAAACTTTAGAAATAGGGCAGGCAGATTTACTGGACCAGCCCTGAGGAGCAAAAGCAGAATAAATGACAGACAGAGTCATTGAGAACACATCTTCATCAGCAGACAAAGCACAATGACAACACTTTCAAGCTAAAAAGTGCAGCGGAAAGGAATGCATTGGGGAGAAAGGGTTAAGGGGAGCAAAGGGGAATGGGAAAAAAAGAATTAAGATACACTATACAGTACAAATTCTCCATGATGATTGTACTAATAATCATAATTGTATAGTAAATGTGTACTAATAAAAATACAGGAATTAAAAAGAAAAAGCATATAGAAACACTATGTGAGTGATACTTCAAAATATAAATACAAAGCCAGGTGAGGTGCTGCACGTAACCCCAGCACTTGGGAAGCTGAGGCAGGAGACTTACCATGAGTTTGAGGCCAGCCCGGGCTACATAGTGGGTTCAAGGCCAGCCTGGACCACACCGTGAAACCCTGTCCCAAAAGAAAATTTTTAAAAATGCAGATGGGTGTGGTGGTGCACGCTGTAATCCCAGCACCCAAGTGTCAGGAGCCTGAGGTAAGACAATCACTGTGAGCTCCAGACCAGCCTGAACTCCACAGTGAGATGCTGTCTTAATAAAAAAGCAAGAAAGAAAAACAGTTTTAAAAAAGAGAGAAACAAACAGAAGAAGAAGAAAGACAATACAAACACAAAGGTATTTGTGAGTGTGGCTCAGTCTAGCATGGGAAAGGCCTCAGTTTGAGCCCCAGCACCACAAAAAGGAAGAAAGAAAAGAAGGAAAACAGGGAGGAAGAGAAGGAGAGAGGGAGAGGGGAAAAGAAGGAATGTTTTATAAAGCAAAAGAAAATATAAACAGAATTTTAAAAGAGACAAACATAGTAATAGCTTCTATAGCTCACCCAGGATGGCCTCCTTTCTATTTTGTCTGTATGCTCCATCATAAACAAAAAGTACCATCACAAAGTCATCATAATGCGAAAAGGAGCACCTCAGACTCCATTTCCACAGATGCCTGTGTGCAACCGCCCATCACAATACTCTGTTGGTTTTATTTTCTCAAGTAATTGCTTAATGAGTTAGGAAATAAATTTAATAAACATTAATTCAAAATAGTGTTATTCTATTTCACATTGAGAATAAACTTTCACTCAGTTTGGGGCAATTAGTCTTTTAAACTAATAGCAGAAAGTTTCCATGAGTATCTGTGGGTGTGTGTTTAAATATCAAAACAGCATACACATCATTATTGCATGAACAGAAACGATCTAATACACTTATTTCCCGCACCCCACAGTAGTGCACTCATAAATGCAGCTGGTTTATTTATTCCATTGTTGGAAGATTTTTTTTTCCATTTCTTATTTTGAACTTGCTCTCTCTCTCGACATTTCATAGAAGTTATTTATTCCACTCTTACTCTGCAAGCAATGAGGAGGAGGCAGCAACCTATCAGAAGTGCAGCTAGGATGGGGAGGCAGTATGTCTGTCCTCAGGCAGCTGTATTTGGACAAATCTCATAGGTAAGCTGACTGCACTTTCTAACTGTTGTTAGCCTGTGCAAGGAGCTAAAACCAAAACAGACTTGCAGGTGGTAATGCAAAACAGGTCAGTTTTTTCACTGATACAATGTAAACGGAGAAATTAAATGCTATGGAGAGACACAGTTGATACACATATAACAAATCCATGCACATATGTGGGCACAAAACAAGACTTCATAAGGCAATACTACCCTCAGTGCAGGGGATGGATTCCAATATTATCTGTTTCCTTCTAATTGGCTTTTCATTAAGAATGGGAGATATAGGTCTTTTCCAAATGGGAAGAGGGCCAAGAGAAGGATGGAGGGGAGGAGGGAGGAAAGAAGAATAAAGATGTATTCTGAACATGTACCAACTCCCCATGATGCGTGTAATCATTAGGTATTACTACTGTGTATTAACCAAGATAAAAACTAAAGAACAGAATGTTCCCTGAAGCCAGCTGCACACTGCAATCTGCTCTTTCGTGCCCACTCTCACAGTGGGTTGTTAACCTTTCAGGAATTTTGAAAACCAGTTGACATGATATTCATAATTTAAAATGAGGTGATTTGTGTGTACACCACAGAAAGTGTCAAACATCTACCAACTAGCAATTTTTTTTCTTTTGGGATCCAGGTATTAAACATCATTGGTTAAGGATATTATTAAACAGAGAATCACATAGCAACGCAAAATGTGTGTGAGCCTAAGGAAGAGAGAAAGACAAATGAGAATTCTACTGCCAGTGACATAGAAAATTTACTTCTGTGTGTAAAGTAATTGGTTAATGAAGGCTTCGTGGAATATCTCACAAGTTACACAGTTATTAAGATCTTTCATTTAAAAAAAGCTTAATCTCGTCACCATAAAATCTAATAAAGGCTTAAGCCTCAGCTAAGCATCACTGCTTTCTGCTAGAATAAGATTTTGTGCGATCTTTATTTTCATATGTGTTTACAGCAATTTTTTTGGTATTTTGAGACAGAGTCTCACTGTGCAGCTCAGGCTGGCCTTGAACCCTGCAGTGCTCTTGCTTCAATCTCCTGAGTGCCGGGATTAGAGGTGTGCACCACCATGCTTATTTACTAGTATTTTTAATGGTTGATGTTTCAAAATACACTTGATCAGTTACTGAGGAATGTTGAATGAAAATATTACACAAAGCCTGTGTGGTCGTGAGATATGATGTTTAAACTCAGCCTGCAATCTGATCTTCTTCAAGTAATAAAACAAGTTTTTACACATCCTTTTTCTTCTAATTCTCACTTTGTCTACTTCTATTTACCCTTCTAGTTTTCCTTCTTTTTGGGCTGCCTAAAAATAGTATGAAGGATTTGGAGGAGAGGGAATTTGTCTAAAGAGAGGTTCTTTCATTTTCTATCAAGACTTAATAGTCGTTTTCTTTCTGAGCCAAAATAATGTGCATGTTCTCTCTCTCTTTCTCTCTCTCTCTCTCTCTCTCTCTCTCTCTCTCTCTCTCTCTCTCTCTCTCTCTCTCTGCCTCCCTTCCTTTCTCTCTCTTTCTGTCTCTGTCCCTTTCCTTCTTCACCTTCATTCTTGAATTCCATTTCTTTTGCTTCAATGTATTCATATAAAAGCCAATCTACTCAGTTTATTTTTGAGTAAACAAATCAGTATTATGGAAATGTGAGTTGAAAATTTTACCTAACAAAATATACTTAAGTGCTCTGCGAAACCAGGGATAGAAGAAACCGTATATTAAGGGATTACACGTGGAGTTAAAATAGCCGAACCATGTCAAGGCATCGAACAGAACTACGGGAGTAGAAAAATTCAAAAATGGATCCAGTAAAATTGTGAAAAAACAGGGAAACCAACAAAACAAGAAAACACCCATAACTATTCCTAAAGTTTTGGCTGCTTTCTTGTCTTTCCTCATTTGACTGCTTTGATTTTCTGATAAGGTATTGATTGCGTGAGCATGCTTTCTAGATACTGCAAAAATTTTGCCATAAATTCCCACCATGATAGACCCAGGAGTGAAGAAACCTGCCATAAACAAAGTGGTCCCCCACAGCTTGTTAAACATGACTGGGCAGGAACTAGAACAAGCAACCAAGATATCATAGCCTTCTATTCCATCAGCATAGGCCTCTGAGAAGACCACCCCAAAGGCAAATGCTCCAGGAACTGACCAGCAGAGAAGCAGCAACCTTTTAATGACCGGAATGGTGATT